AATGACATACATAACATTTCTTGTAGACATATTGGTTAATGATTACAAAATACATATTTCTTCTTCTGTGGATAATGTTTAAAATCCAATCTAAGCAACCATTGTCATAAGATAATCTTAATAAATATTTGAAAAATGGCTATCATTACAGATTAAAAGCAAATTTCACCAAATTAAAAATAAAATAAAATTCTTCCAATTTATACTAGGTACCCAGTACCTACAGTTAACATAATAATTGATGGTGAAGTGGCTAGTGTTCAGGGTTGGTGGACATGGTTCTATAAATCCTAGTACTTAGACAACTGGAGACAAGAATATAGCCATGAATTTGAGAGCAGCCTGAGCCACATAGCAAGTACCAAGCAAGTTCTGTCTCAAAATAAAAACATAAACAGATAAAGGAAGTAAAAAGCCATAAGGAACCATGCACTTTCTGTGGGACTACAAGAGTCTTTGCTTCTCTGACCCTGTAGAGATTTGCCTGCATGTATATCTGTGCACCAGATACATGCCGATCCCACAGAAACCAGAAGTGGGCAGAAGATCCCTTCAGACTTGAGTTGCAGAGGGTTATAGGATGCTATGTGGATGTTGGGAACCAAACCTGGGTCCTGGGAAAGCAGCCAATGCCCTTAACCAGTGAACCATCTCTCCAGTCCCAAGGCCAGAGTTTTTAACCACTGATGTTGAATTTTGAAACAACTTCTTACCCACATGGGAAAAAAATAAAATAAAATTACTCCTTTCCCTCACCATTGTGTGCTGTGTCATATTACATAAATTGAAACTGGATATAGCCCTAATGTAAAATCTAAAAGGGCAGTGCTGATAAACATCTTTAATCCCTGCATTTGGAAGACAGAGGCAAACAGATCTTTGTGAGTTTGAAGCCAACCTGGTGTGCAGACCAAATACCAGGACAGCCAGGGCCACGCAGAGAAATCCTGTCTCAAAACACAAAAGCAAATAAGTAAACAAACAAAAACTCCTAAGTGTTAAAGATACAGTAACATGAAAAAGATATCTTGAAAACAGCAAAAGAATTAAGACAGATAATTATATAATTCAATATTATTTAATAGCATTCATCTTTGTATTTAGAAGCAGTCATCAAAAGTCTCCCAACCAAAAAAAGTCCAGGTCCAGAAGGCCTCAGTGCAGAATTCTGCCAGAAATTCAAAGAACAGCTTATACAAATTCTTCTCAAAGTATTCCACACAATAGAAGCAGAAGGGTCTTTGCCAAACTCTTTCTATGAGGCTTCAATAACCTTGATCCCCAAGCCACACAAAGATACAACTAAGAAAGAGAACTTCAGACCAATATCCCTCATAAACATTGATGCAAAAATACTCAATAAAATACTGGCAAATCAGATCCAAGAACACATCAAAACAATCATTCACAACCATCAAGTAGGTTTCATCCCAGGGATGCAGGGATGGTTCAACATACGAAAATCCATCAACGTAATCCACCATATAAACAAGCTGAAAAACAAAAATCACATGATCATCTCACTAGGTGCTGAAAAAGCCTTTGACAAAATCCAACACCCCTTCATGATAAAGGTCTTGGAGAGATCTGGGGTAACAGGGACATACTTAAACATAATAAAAGCTATATACAATAAACCAACAGCCAACATCAAACTAAATGTACAGAAACTCAACACAATTCCTCTAAAATCAGGAACAAAACAAGGCTGTCCACTCTCTCCATACCTTTTCAACACTGTACTTGAAGTTCTAGCCATTGCCATATGACAACAAAGGGGGATCAAGGGGATACAAATTGGGAAGGAAGAGGTCAAACGTTCACTGTTTGCAGATGATATGATAGTTTATATCAATGACCCAAAGAACTCTACCAGGGAACTCTTACAGCTGATTAACACCTTCAGCAAAGTGGCAGGCTACAAGATCAACTCAAGAAAATCAGTAGCCCTACTATATACAGATGATAAAAGGGCTGAAAAAGAAATCAGAGAAACATCACCCTTTACAATTGCCACAAACAACATAAAATACCTTGGGGTAACGATAACCAAACAAGTGAAAGACCTGTATCGCAAGAACTTTGAATCTTTAAAAAAAGAAATTAAAGAAGCCCTCGGAAAATGGAAAGATCTCCCATGCTCTTGGATAGGTAGGATCAATGTAGTAAAAATGGCAATCCTGCCAAAAGCAATCTACAGATTCATTCAATGCAATCCCCATTAAAATCCCAGCTCAATTCTTCACAGACCTTGAAAGAACAATAATCAATTTTGTATGGAAAAACAAAAGACTTAGAATAGCCAAAACAACCCTGTTCAACAAGGCAACGTCCGGAGGCATCACCATCCCTGACCTCAACCTCTATTATAGAGCTATAGTCCTGAAAACAGCTTGGTATTGGCACAAAAATAGACAGGTAGACCAATCGAATCTAATTGAAAACCCGGATATTAACCCACACCCATACGAACATCTGATCTTTGACAAAGAAGCTAAAAATATACAATGGAATAAAGAAAGCATCTTTAACAAATGGTGCTGGCATAACTGGAGGCTGGCATGTAGAAGAATGCGGATCGATCCATGTTTATCGCCATGCACAAAACGTAAGTCCAAATGGATCAAAGACCTCAACATAAATCCAGACACACTGAACCTCTTAGAAGAGAAAGTGGGTGGTACCCTTGAACGAATTGGTACAGGAGACAGCTTCCTGAACATAACACCACTAGCACAGACAGTGAGATCAACAATGAATAAATGGGACCTCCTGAAACTGAGAAGCTTCTGTAAGGCAAAGGACACAGTCAGCAAGACAAAAAGGCAGCCCACAGAATGGGAAAAAATATTCACTAATCCCACATCTGACAGAGGGTTGATCTTCAAAATTTACAAAGAACTCAAGATGCAAGTCTCCAAAACATCAAAGGACCCAATTAAAAAGTGGGCTGCAGAACTAAATAGAGAGTTTTCAATAGAGGAGTCTAAAATGGCTGAGAGGCACTTGAGAAAGTGCTCAACATCCTTAGCCATCCGGGAAATGCAAATCAAAACAACTCTCAGATACCATCTCACTCCTGTCAGAATGGCTAAAATCAAAAACACCAATGACAATTTATGCTGGAGAGGATGTGGTGAAAGGGGGACACTCCTCCATGGCTGGTGGGTGTGCCAACTGGTTCAGCCACTTTGGAAATCAGTATGGAGATTCCTCAGAAAAATGGGAATAAACCTACCACAAGACCCAGCAACTCCACTCTTAGGCATATATCCAAAAGATGCCCATTCATACAACAAAGATGTCTGTTCCACTATGTTCATAGCAGCATTTTTTTAATAGGCAGAACTTGGAAGTAACCTAGGTGTCCCTCAACCGAAGACTGGGCTGGTTTAACCCCCAGAAACAGCTGAGCTGACAAAGGTTAACTCTTGAATCCCAGGCATCAGCCTGGGAATCCAGCATGGGACTGATCAAGAACCCCTGAATGTGAGTGTCAGTGAGGAGGCCTAGGTAATCTATTGAGCCTTGGGCAGCAGATCAGTACCCATCCCGATTATACATACAGACTTTGAACTCCCATCCAACAATGTGAGGTGCACTCTCACCCTGAACTCTTGGGGAAGGGTCTAGGCCCTGCCCTATATGAAATGACAGACTATGGACACCCCCATGGAGGTCCTCACCCTCCCTGGGGAAATGAGGGGATAATGGGGGGGTTGGGGGAGGGCATGGGAGGAGGGGAGGGAAAGGGAGAGGGACCTGGAACTGACTTGTGAAGCAGCCTTGTTTCTTATCTAAATTTAAACTGAAAAATAAAAAAAATTAAAAAAAAGAATTTTTTATCCAGATAAGTGAATTGCACACACTAATAAATTTCATTGTGGTTTTTCAGTACAAACCTATAACTGCTTTTTGAAGTCCAATATCGTGTTTACCACTTCAATAGTCACATAAGCATTCTCAAAAACCCTTTCAAGTACCACTATGGGGCCTATTTCTTCCTTTGGGAAATGCTGTTCTAAGTATTGCTTCACATGACAAGTTATAATCAGCCCATTTCATGCCCTAAAGCTGTCTGCAATGTTGGTTTAGATGGCACTTTCTCCCTCTGTCTTATACATAATCTTCCTGAACTTACTGACTATCTGAAAAGCCATGGTAATGTCCTCCCCTAGTTTACCTGATAGTCAGAAGCGTCCTGAAGACTTTATATTTATTGTTGGTTTTATTGGTGACAAGACACAAAAGGTGCAGAGGATGGTGAGGGACCTCCCATTGGCTGTAGCAGTGGCTTTTGGTAGGGCCATGCTCTGCCAGCGAGCAAGAGTGGAGGACCCAACTTGGACAATAGCATATCTATCAGAACAAGATGCTGCGTATGCAGCCAGGTAACCAAAGGGTCTTAGCAGGATAGAATTCCGATTCTTCCCAGATCAATTATGTACTCTGATAGTACCCGCAAACTCAGTCAGGAACCAGTCCTTCATTTTTTTTTTAAATTCAGTGTTAAGGAGGCATGATTTTAACGTGACAGAGCACACATGCTTCAGTTTAATGAAGCTTGGTGCACGTATGACTGTTTTCATCATTCCAAGACATTCTATCATCCCTTCCCTTCTCCTAGTGTAGGCTGATGATCTATTTCTATCACTTAAGATTAGACACCCTTTTTTTCTTTTCTTTCTTTTATCAAGAGTCCATGAAAATTTACATTTTACTTGAGGTCCATTAATTATGTCAAAAAATGTAATGCATGTGGTCAAATTTCCCCAAGATTGTGACACTGCTGTCCATGTTTTGACAGTGATGTGTGGTTTAAAAATTGAAGTGTCAACCTCAGCTAGACTTGGAGAATTTTTCCAGCCAAAAATAAGAAGAGGCATAAAACACACATTTTTTTTATCTCAGGAAACATTACATGGTTTGATTTCTGCCATAATCATCATCTTCCAAGAGTGGTAACAAATAGGAATGAGTGGGGTTATGCAACCCTTTACCTGTTGGAAGGTGCAGTGTGATGTTGTTGCAGAAGTCTGTGAAGCAACATTCGGTTTTGGTCACGTTGTTAGAACTGTGGCAGAAGACTTGAGCATTTAATTCCGGGAGGGACACGCAGGATTTGATCACCTGCTCTTTCCCATTGGTTAACATGACAGAGGCCCAACATGCTCCTTCAGTTTGGCAGGTAAAGTTTGAAGAGTCACACAAAAGGCACACACACTTCAGTCCTGGAAAAAGTAAGGCAAGAAGCATAAGATGCAGAAGATGGCACACAGTTATTTTGTGGTACTTGAGAACAGAAATTCAATTTTAACATAACGAAGACAAGTTTTAAAATGTGATGCAGATGCCCTCTCCATCCTGTGTTTCATTAAATAGGCTACTCAATCAGTTACCCTCTGTATAGCTATTATAATTTATGCAGTGGTTCCTATAGTTACTATGTTTTCCTGGTCCACACTCTAAATCCTTCTCAAGCTCAATCGGTTTACTCCTAAATCAATAGTGCCTCTAAAATGCTAGGAAACAGTAACTCAGCAACAAGGAGCTGGCTGGCACAGCTTGCAGAACAATGATGCGAGGCAAGGGCAACTGCAACCCAACACGCCAGCATGCTAGGTTCCCCAAACTTTGAAATGCATGTGCTGAACACAAAACAAATTATAGAAACACATAGGTCAAAAACAAGAGGTGTTTACAGACTCTGCACCTTAAGGTTGCTATTGTTGTTGTAGGCACCATGAAGGCATTCATAAACCACTCTACTTCCCCTTCCACGAAGGAATATATCTTAGAATGACAGCCATTTGAATGTAGACATTAACCTTCAGAGAGTTTTTAATGAGTACCTCTATTCCACAAAAGAAAGCACATTGATATTAGAGTTTAATATAATCTGTTTATGAAAATATCATCTTCACATTCCCCTTACCACACACTCACACTCAGAACCTCACAAATGGATCCACATGATTTGATATGTCTGTCTTGATATGAGACGTCAGTCTAGAGTCCAGGGGTTGTACTTTATTCAAACTTTACTTTCAGTATATCATTTCTAAATACTGGAATTCTAAATATTTCTATCATGACTTTAATGGATGTTTTATTACATCGTAACTACCCCAATCATCTTAATATCCAAAACTTTGCAATACAATCAGTTAAGAAAATTAGTCTTTAAACTTCTAACTACTAAAACTAGACCCAATTTTATACTAACAAAATATTCAATTTATAAATGCGTGATCATTTTTATCTTTTTTTTTCTTTTTATCAACAATAATGAGCTGTAGTAGAATCACATATTCTAGGTTGACTGAGATTCCAGACTGTCAGGTATACAAAACCTAGTGATTAAGAAACATGGTAAGAAGGCTGGAGAGATGGTGCAACCATTAAAGGCGAAGGCTCACAACCAAAGAGACTAAACCATGTGGTAAGGTGGATAAACCTTTAATACCAGCACTCATGAGGCAGAGGCAGATGGATCTCTACCAGTTCCTGGCCAGCCAGAACTACATAGCTGAGACTGTCAAAAACACCACCACCAACAAAAGCACACTTACTGTTTCCTTATATGAAAGAGAGATTATGCAAGGAGCAGCCATTAACCCAGGTGTCTCTGACTGTGGAATCATAGCACTTCCCGACCTGTCAAGTGTCTTCAGCACATGGCTGCTCATGCTTTGTCATCTTGGACATTACTTTGTCCCTCCGGGCCTCCTCTGAAAGGTGATAACTACAGTGACAACATACTGCCTCATCGTGTTGCCATGGAGAGTAAATTAATCATATAAATCTTTTGTGCTCGCTTCTGGCACATCGGAAGTATGACACAAGCATTAGTAACTGCCTCTTCTAACATTCAAGACAGTGAAACTAGTTTTCTTACAGAAGCCATCAACAGACTCCATAATCCCTGCAAGGAGAGCTACATGAAACAGGATCCTGCAGCCATTTAAAAGGCCTGACAAAGAAATGTGACCTTCTCTGCTCTGCCCAAGGGACTGAGTATCTTAGTGCTTTTCAAGGTCCAGGCTAGGCTATTCTCTCATCCCGTTACTTTTTAGCAACTGAGAATAGAATATAAAGCTAATGTAATAGAAAAAAGTTAGTAGTGAAGGCATGGCAACTTCGGGGTGATCTGATTGCTTTGATAGACTTTAATGCTTGTCTTAATTTTTACCACAGCCGTTAGAAACAGGAGAGGAGGGTCTCTAGCCTGACTTTGTCCCTCACTTGCTGAATGACTTTGGGGAGTCATGGTGCCCTCTAGAAATGAACCAAAGTAAGAGTATCAAGCCTAGAAATCTTGACACCCCTGCAGAGCGCTATCTGCATTTTATAGACATGATGACTCTAAGTTGACAATTCAGGGAAATCTGATATTATAAAGCATGAAAAACACTTGCCACTCTATGGCTGGTTCATACCCTCATATGTAAGGGGCTGAAAGTGAGTAGACTAGCCCTTTGACATACTATCTCAAAAACCCTTTGTCACTGTGGTCATTAGAATCTTTTAATTCTCTGGGCTGAAGAGCTGTGTCAGAAGCTCAGTACTTGGTTCTCTTACACAGGACCTGGATTTGCTTCCCACCACCCAAATGATGACTCACAATTACCTATCTGTATCTCCATCACTGTTTTCTGTCCTTCCCAGGCACTGCACACACATGGTGCCCAGACATACATGCAAGAAAAACAAAAGAACTGTATGTATGAAATAAAAATAAATAGATCTTTTTCCAAGTCTTAACTGTTTGCTTCCTGAAGGAGCTAAGTTAGGAAGTCAAGGAAACTACCCAAGGGATGGGCCTACTGAGTGGAAGCAGCCATCAGCCATTCAACATTTAAGCACAGGGTGATTTCATATGCATTTCTCACGGTGTCCAATTCCCAGGGCACCTTGGTTGTCAGTACCTGCATTTTACAGATATGAAATGAGGCGTGAAACAATCAAGTAATTGACTGAATATACCAGTCTCTAGACAACATGAATGAACTTGTTTCTATCTCACCAAAGCTACCATGGTACTAAGAACTATTCTGGTAACCACACTGGCTTCTAGAGGCTAAATAAAATACAATGATTAATATATCAGAAACAAGTTAGTCATTATTACCAATGTTTGAAATTGTGGCCTGAATTATTTCAATGAAATTTAAGGCAAGGTGGATATTTTTAGGCAAATTCTATCTGCCAGTTTACTGACAGGACAGGTGGTCAAATAAAACTCAGTATCATGTGCCTTGAAGCTAGAACAAATAACCTGCCTTTTCAGCTTATCTAAATTCTACACTGAGTAAGCCTCCTAGGACCTCCCACCCACAACCCCTATATTTCTCCTCAAAGCACTGACTGGCTCTTCATAGACATGAACTCATAGTATTCCTTAGCACAGAATGATTTGCACTTTCCACTAATTTCTTAACCAACTATAGATTCTCCTTAGGTTTAAAGCAAAAGGCACACAGCAGGATAATACAGACCTTAGTGAAGACATAGGAAACACTGCCTCAACTTAAACCTAGCAGGACAGAAAACACAGACAAAATGAGGATTTGTTAATGGTGATGGGCTCACAAATCTGTTCAGTGTCCCCTCCTACTGCAGGTCAATCGGCAGACTCCCACACTGGCGAGGAGTGCGCAGCAAAACAAATGAAAACTACAATGTAAAAGTAGCACATGCCATATTCGATCTCTCATCTTTCACTTCTCACCAGTCCGCTATGTAGTCGCATTTGTATAATTAGAGAATATTTACACCAGCCATCCTCAACACAGAACCTTAAGCTGCCAATTAAAAAGGAAGTTACCATTATTGATTTGATTTATGCTTTTCTATTTTGTTTTTTAAAACCTGATGCTAATTGAGTCAGCTTTTTTTAGAATACTTCATAGCAAGATAAATCTGATTGTTGGCAGACAGCAGTCCCTCTTTATCTTATACTTACCCTTAAGTCATATGGTAGGAGACAGCAAATGAGGTTGAAGAAAGAGGCAATTATCCATAATAAGGAGGTCTATTAGATCTTTCCCCAACACGAAGACTTCACTTTTCTCGTGTCTCTTCCCACCCCTTTAATTATCTCCCTTTTTCTCCCTCTTTGCCAATTAGTCTGTAAAAGCCAAGACATCTGTTACCCAAAAGACATCTGCTACCCACATCTACCAAAGGATGTGCACATTCCTAATCAAACAGAAAGTACATTTTTATCCATATTTACCCATGATGACCAGCACAACACCCTGTTGACTGAAGTGTAAAAGCTATCAGGCTACAGAGAGAGAGAGAGAGAGAGAGAGAGAGAGAGAGAGAGAGAGAGAGAGAGAGAGAGAGAGAGAGAGAGAGAGAGAGAGAGAGTATCTTTAGGTACTATGTCATTAAAAAGACAAATATTTTTAACAAATAATTTGGGATGGTGCTTTCAATATATTGGTTTAACCCATTTCCTACATCTTGAGCCATGTGCTTAACTGTGCAGTGATCAAGTCAAACATCTGACTCCATGCTCAGTCCGCTTCCCAGATACTAGTTTGTTTTGTTCACTAGCTCTACTTTTAGACAAGGCTATTAGGCACATTTTTTTCAATTTTGAAAGCATTTTGGGTGTGGCCTGATGAATGTGTAGTGTTTTCATCATCTGTAGGCTTCTGAATTAACAAAGAGAACAGTCCAAGCTCATCAAAGAGCTGAAAGTGAACGGGAAAGACACAGCGACAAATGGCAATAGAGAATCAGAAGGGACTCCAGAACCTCAAAGCATTTGACCTATTGCCCTTCCTGTCTCCCTTCCAGACTGGTCTTACCACATCATTATACTGCTCAGGCTCGTCCTGGACTTTGGGAATTCTCCTGCTTCAATCTCCCAAGTGCTTTGGCTACAGGTTGATACTGTCAAATCATCGTATGCTTCTATTTCAGACAGTGGGAAAATCCTAGCACTTCACCATCCACCAAAACTTCTCTAGTCAATGTTAAAGACCATCTACCCGGTCCAATGGTAACATCGTATGAGAAGACGCTTACTTTCTAACATTGGGAAATTTTAAGCGAATGAAGGGGAGTGATGGAACCCTGGGGGTGTCACAGGCTCTGTGACTGATGCTACATGTTCAGAGACTGTTGATTAACCCTTTAATCATAGTATACCCACTATCATAAAATAAGCAGACACATGAAAGGCAACTCCAGAGTCCCATGCTCAGCAATCTGAAGA